TGGTTTAATCTGCTATGAACTGAGAGATTTTTCAAAATGGCAGATGCATGAACTGTATTTTGCATGTTTAAAATAAAAACAACACAGTTTTGCAGTTGTTGTCTTTATTTCTCTCACTGCCTGCTTTCAACTTCTGTATTCCAACAAAGGGGTAATCAATTATTTCAAGAGATACCTAGTCCTGAGCATGGGCACTTCTACCATTACCAGGCTGTAATATGGGTACCCAAACATTCCCACTCAGTCTGTGGCCTGAGCAGCAGTTTTTAAAAGCCTGACACATTCATACAGAGTGTTCAGACCATAGCTGTGAACACATCTGGCTTGGAGGGCATCATGCATCAGGACTGCATGAAAAAAATATGCCCACGTAATCCAAACGATCTGGCTGGCTTTCCAATGTGTTGGTTTTGGCTACCCGGATTTAGAACCTATGATGTTTGGGAATTCTTGTTTTGTTTCATTTTTGTTTTGTTTTGCTTTGTTTTTAATCTTGCACCCAGTATCCAACTTCATGTGACACATTTTCTAAAAGAAATTTTGCATGGCCCGATTTTGTGGCAACTGAAAATTGATACTTTTCACACACAGCTGTTGTGTACGATAGAAGAACTGATTTCATACCAAAAAAATACATAAGAGAACAAACAAGAACACATTAGCAGTGGATTGATTTTTTCTATTGGAATATTAAAACATATTCACCAATGAAGAAATTAGATCAGTGTTAGTGTTTGAATTTTGGCTTCTTCATTTGCTAGAAGACAATAGAGAAATACGTAACTTGCTCAAAGTAAAGGATGATGTTTGACCAAAAATAACTTTGTGTGGGACTGTCCAAAGGGCATAGCGTTGGATGAGCAGTACTCCCACTGAAGTGAATACATTTGTGTTGTGAGTCCCAGAAGAAGCCATTTGGGGTCAGTGTTGAATATTCTGGGAAATCTCGCCTGTAAGCAGGCTTCTTTGGTTTTAGACACACATGTTTTTCAGTTTGCAGGTAATGTAGAACTGTAATTCCTTTGTTCTCATTTAGAAGTAAACTTCCATGAGATCGGCTTTGATTCATTTTGTACCATAAAATGAAGGCCACAGGATAGCCAAGACATGGGGCTGTCTTCCCAGCACATTCAGTTCTGCTCCATCCCACAGAGCAATCTCTCACACTTTCTAGTGAAGATTTCTTCAAGTAATCAGGTATTGAACAGCAGCCAGTTTTACGTGGTAAAATGTATAAACTGTGTGAAGATGACCCAACTGATAGATCTCAAATCAGAGCTGCTCCACCAAGTTATCTAAGACACCTGTAGCTTCATATTCCTATTTCCCCCTCTTTTCCTTCCCACTTCTCAGAAGGAGTATTTCTCCACTGTTAAAGCACACGGCTGAAAAATCAATGGATCAATGTTCTTTGCTCCTCTATGATATTATTTTGTAATCTTGGGAACACTGTTTAATTTTTCTGTGCCTCAGATTCCTCGTCTGCAAAATGAAGATCACTGCTGTGCATTCACAAACATCTCATAATGGTACTGGGGGATTTTTGTATTTGAAATGTGTTTTGAGATCCTCAGAGCCATGATGGTGCTCTTGTAACATAAAAAATATTACTTTACCTGGCCACGGACTCAGAGATGCAAAGGGCAGCTGAAGAGGGGCCAGCCTTTTTCTTTATTGTTTGCCACACTGAAGGAAAGGAAAACAAGTTTCCAGCAAGAAAATACAGAAATAAGATAAACAGTTCTGGCACATATGATCCCTCACTAAATGATTTATGGAGTGTTCACAGTTGCATGGAATCGAGGATTTACAGCTTGTCCTTAGCAAGGGTGTTAAAAGGAGCATCTATAATGCAGCATCACAGGTGGTTTAGGTGGTTACTGTATGCTGAGCTATGTAACTCACCAGGCATAACTCACCAGTCATCTTCATGTATGTATTTGGTCTACCTAAGTGTCTGAAGACAATCATAGCTGCTACACATCTTTCTGTTTACTTCACATGATCCAGATCAGAATGCTGTCTACTTAAAACCAAAACATCACCAGTGGGGACAGATCTGCAGTTGTGCACCAGCCCCCAAGGTATTTGAAAGAACACCTCCATGAGATTGAAAGCTCAGTTGGAAATCTCCCTCAATCTACTCGAATTCCAGCAAATAAGCGTGCATAATAATGATGGAATCACAGAATGGTTTGGGTTGGAAGGAACCTTAAAGCTCACTCAGATCCAGCCCCCTGCTGTGGGCAGGGCTGCCACCCACTGGATCAGGCTGCCCAGGGCCCCATCCAACCAGACCTTCAGAATCTCCAGGGATTTCCTGGAAAAGAAATGAAGAAATGAAAGAATTTTCAGTGTCCCAGCTGATACAGTGCAATATGATGGTATTGGCTTTGTGCAGAGTAGTATCATTAAATATATGAATATATCAGTGAAATGATACTTAGATTTTAGCAAGGCCCTTCTGCCCTTAGGCTAAGCTGCTGTCATTTCTCTTGTAGATATTAAATTTCTACTGGTTTTATGGATCATTTTAAATTCTGAAAACTACTTTATTATAAATTATATCTTGCCCCTTCGAGGTAATTGATCGTCTTCACTGCCTACTGTAATTCTGCATCCATTCCTATTGCCTCTTCAATCCAATCCAATACCCAGAAGTCCCAGAATATTCATGGTATTCATCATCCCTATTAGCCCAGAAATATATTAATTTCTCTAATTCTTGAGCTAGAAATGAAGATGAGTTATATTTTTAGTTATGTAGGGTAAACTAAATCTACTAATGAAAAAATTGCTAATACACTGCTAATTGCTTACTTATGTAAGGTAAAAATCTATCTGTAAAACCCTCACTGTAATCAGCAATATTGTGTTATACAGCATGTGATGAAAGAGTCCACAGGCATGTAAGAAAATGAAATGACAATAATTGTGCCTCTTTAAAACATATTCTATTTTAATTTGCAAATATAAAGGCACACAGCTGATGACAGCTGAGAGGTTCCAAGTTTCATCACTTTGAGTCATTCTGAATGCAGGGGAGATCACTGGTCCTACCTAAGGCTTGCTTTAGGTCACAGAGGTGATATGGCAACAAGTGCTCAGGTGGAAGGCCCCTGACTCCTAGCAGATGTACGTGATAGCTCTGCAGATCTCCATCACTCACCTGCATCCCCTGGGTATATGTACATGGGGTACTGGGATGGAAGGGTATCCAGCTCACTGAGCCTTACTACGATATTGCAGTAAGATGTTTGCTGACAAGACAAAACAGAGCTGCCTCCTTCAGCACGGCTCCCCAGCCACACAAGCAGGACATAGTTTACACCGGAAGGAACCTGACTGGTTGTTCAGAGTGAACTTTCTCACCTGACATTATAAGACTTGCAGTCACCCTGCAAGATCCCCAAAACATACAAGTGAAAGCTAGCTGCCTTCTCCCTTGTGAAGATTTCAGGTTCAAAAGTATTGCTTTCATTCATAAAATCACTGAATCATGAAGGCTGGAAAAGATGTATAAGATCACCTAGTCCAACAGCCAGTCTACCCTCACCATGCCCACTGACCACGTCCCTCAGTGCCACATCCACACGGTTCTTGAGCACTTCCAAGGACGGTGACTGCACCACCTCCCTGGGCAGCCTGTTTTGCTCTCTCTCAGAAGAATTTCTTCCTAATACCTAACCTGAACATCCCCTGATGCAACTTGAGCCATTGCCTTTCATCCTATCACTGGTACCTGGGAGAAGAAGCCGATCCCCACCTCACCACAGCCTCCTTTCAGGCAGCTATAGAGAGCAATCAGGTCTCCCCTGAGCCTCCTCTTCTCCAGACTGAACAATGCCAGCTCCCTCAGCTGCTCCCCATAGGACTTGTTCTCCAGATCCCTCACAGCCGTGTTGCCCTTGTTTTGTCACACTTCAGGGCCTCGATGTCCTTCTTAGAGTGAGGGACCTGAAATTGAACACAGAAGTGTGGCCTCACCAGTGCCGAATACAGGCTCCTGCTGGCTGCACTTCAGATCCAAGCCAGGATGCCACAGGCATACTTGTCTGCCTGTGCACACTGCTGGCTCATGTGCAGCTGGCTGTCCACCAACACCCCCAGATTGTCTTCCTCCATGCAGCTTTCCAGCCACTCTGCCCCAAGCCTGTAGCACTGCGTGGGATTGCTGTGACCACAGTTCAGGCCCCAGCACTTGGTCATGTTAATCCCCGACCATGCATTTTTGTGGACTACTCAAGGCAGCAGGCAGTTATTTTGCAATAGGCCTTGTTTCTTTCCCTTCCTTCTCCAAAAAACTGCTAACCATTAATACAGCCGTGCAAATATGTTTCACTGCTGTGAAACAGGCAGTTCTTGTCCCATGGATTCCTGGGTATACAGTTTGCAATCTGACTGCTGCAGCCCCTCACCGAAGCACCAAGCTGCAGTAGCAACGCTGGCTGGTGCCCAGACAGCCCTCTTCTCTGGCTGTAGGCAGGCTCCATGACGGACACATCACTTCATCCTGCTGGGTGCCTTGGCTCCGCATCTGTGAAATGGGGATAAGTGGCATCGCACTGCTTGCTGCACGGTGTTCAGAAGTTGGGAAGTACCAAGTTGGGATCCGTGCTTCCCCATGCACAGCAGTCCTGTGAGGGCAGGGCTCCCGGGACACGTTACCTCACGGAAGCGCGGGAGGTGAACGTGAGGCCGAGGCACACGTGTGGAAGCTGCGGGCAGCTTTGTGAACATTCAGGCACCGACAAAAACACCCGTCCCACAGAGCGGCAAACAAAACGGAAGAAAACAAAACGCAGAAGCAGAGGGTGACTTCGGCCGCCCGCACTGCTTTACTGCGCCTTCCCGCTACTCGCAGCCTCACACCGGCTCCGCCACACCCCGCGGCGCCGCACGGATCGCCCCGCTCCTCCCGGCGGAACGTTCTTCCCGCGCCGCACGGAACAGTTCCGCGTCGGACCGGGCAGTGCTGCGCTTCCGCCGGCGGTGGCGGCATGGCGGGCTTGGGGCTGCTGGCCCGGCTCGGTGCGCGGCTGCGGGCGGTGACGGCGGCGCCGGGGAGGCCGCTGCGGGCGGTGACGGCGGCGTCCGGACATAGGTAGCGAGGGATAGGCTGCCGGGTCGCGGGGGGGGGGGCTGCGTTCCGCATATTATCCCCAGCGCTCCGGCCCTGGAGGTGTTGAAGAACCGTGTGGGTGTGGCACTGAGGGACGTGGGCAGTGGGCATGGTGGGGGCGGGATGGCCGCTGGACTAGATGATCTTAGGTGTTTTTTCTGGCCTTAACGACTCTGTGATTCTAAGGGTCAGCTGTTTGAGTGACTGTGGTTGAGTAGCTTGCTGGCAAAATGCCTTTGTTACTGCATGCTGTATTGTGCAGCGATACAGCCTTGAATGTAGCGCATCACAGACGTACATGTCTTGGGTCATTGAGCTGATCAGACACCCAAACTGTTTCCCACTCCTGGAAAGCTGGCAGCTGGGCTTTGCAGCCAGGCCTGTGCACGATGCAACATGGTGGCACGAGCATCTGTCTGAAGAGAACGAGCAGTTCCTCAGGAAGGCAGCAGCGGAGGAGTACAGAGCGCAGACAGCCAGCAAGCTGTGCCCACTGAAGGACGAGCCGTGGCCACTGAATGAGTGGAAACCAGGTGAGAAAACCTTCTGAAACACCAAAATGGAAGTGAAATTATCCTTGTTGCATTCAGTAATACCAAAGTTCTGCAGTCTTTTTGTCTGTGACCTGTCTTTGCTCTCTGTAAGGCAAAAAAAGCACTTTGTTCCAAATTCTGTTGTCATCCACATGGGTCTTCTCACGGCTTCGCAGACTGTGTTAGGCTGTTGTCTGATGTCAAATGATGTGGCCTTTCTGAAGGGTTGAGAACTTCATGTTGTGCTCTAGCCAGTGAGACACTAGAATCACTGCAGAGAAGTGGGATGTATTATATTACAGTTCTCCTCATTGCAGCAGTATTTACAAGAACGCTTTGAACTTTGCGTGTTTTACATTCTGGGGGTTCTTTTTAGATGAGTTCTTAGCTTATTATCTGAATGTTGAGTGGCGCTGGAACCTACCAGGTGCTGATTTGAACTGAAAGCTTCCCACAAGGGTGTTAACACCTTGTGGTGTTTTAAATGGTTTTTAGAGAACTGATGCATTGCATTTACTTGCAAGGAAATATATTTGATTTTTCAGGCATTTATTCTCCATCTGACATGTTCTGTTTTTTAAGCGGAGGACAGTGGGAAAGGCACACATAGGGTGCCTTTGCCATACAGTTACAGTGTCAGAAACATGCAAAGAGAGGGGTGGGATGAACTGGAGAAGACTTTTTAATAGTTGGCTTGGTGCTAGGATTCTGCACAGGTGTTGTAATTTCACAGAAGAACATGTCTGAGACCTCACTGGCAGTTCTGTTGGTTCTGAGATGACTTCTTTCAAATGTTCTGTTGGTTCTGAGATGACTTCTTTCAAATGTTAGGCATGGAGTTGCATCTGTGCTCTCTTCTGATCTGCAGATTCTGTCAGAGTTGGTGTTGTTGCGGTGAAACTGGGAATGATGCCAGTATGGACCAAGTCAGGAAAGAAGCACGCTGTCACACTGCTTAAGGTGAAACAAGTCATGCTGAATTTCATCCCCTTTACTGTATTCACATTAACCAGAAGTCTCAAAAGTGAAGTGTATCATTTTGCAGAGAAAGAAATTCCTTTAAAAAAAGAACACTGTGGCTTTGCATAGCACACTGTGGCTATTCTCTATATGCTAGACTTTGTATGAGTAGAAGGGGTCTGCCTTCTGCCTCAAGTGTTCAGGTGCTGCAAAATTGGGCCAAGCAGAGGGGAGGTGGGAGAACAATGCGAAGTTAGATTACCCTTCCTGCTTTGCTTTTTTTTTGCCACCTTTATGCACTTTCAGATTAGTTTTACATTGGTTGCTGAATCTTTGTAGCCATGAAGCTGCTGCTTGGTATTTTCTGGCAGACATTGCTGAGATGAAACTGTTTTGCATACCTGCTGCTATCCAGTGACAGATGGGGGCTGTGAACACCACCAGGGTTATAGGATGAAGGACCAGGAGGCCAAAACACAGGCTCTTACTGCATGCTTTGCAGCTGCTTCCTGTAGAGATTTCCATAGAATCGTTTGAATTGGAAGGGACCCTTAAAGGCCATCCAGTCCAACTGCCCTGCGATGAAGAGGGACACCCACAGCTACATCTGCTGCTCAAAGCCCCATCCAGCCTGACATTGAATGTCTCCAGGGATGGGGCATCCACCACCATTCTGGGCAACCTGTGCCAGTGCCTCACCACCCTCACTGTAAAAGACTTCTTCCTTATATCCAATCTAAGCCTCCCTTCTTTTAGTTTGAAACCATTTCCCCTTTTCCTGTCACAGAAAGAGCCTGTCCGGTTCTTTCTCATAGTCACCCTTTAGATTATACACATCTTGCTCACAGAAGAAGGCAATAGGAGTTCAAAGAGCATTCACAAAAATGTAGGTATCATTTTACAAGTATATTCTCTAAGTTAAGCCTTTAATTAATTAGGAAAAGAATGTTTATGGTAAAAGGGCAGCACACGGCCTTGTCTATACACTCTATCTCCTGTTACACAAATACGAATGAAGAAGAGAAGTACTTTGACATGCCTTCATAATCTCTTACTCAAGTATGAAAGCATGAACATATGCTTATGCTTAAGTAATCACTATTTCCCTTTTGTTAAGGTGCAAGACTGCCATGTTTTGAAGTACATTTCAAAGGAAGAGTCAGGTGGAAAAAGAGCAAGGCTACTTGTTGGAGGGAAAAACGTATCTCCTTTTTCTGTAAGTGAACTGCTTTGGGTGCTTTTGTTGGAGTTGTTTCTCTTGTGATGACAGTGCAACAATAACACAAACAGAATTTTTCTAAAAGATGAATTGTCCTACTTGACGTGTTTGGAATCTGATCTTTGTCATGCTCGCACTTGCTTATTTCCCTACTGCTAATCTCAGTTCTTGGTTAAGAGGTTTTTAGTGGTAATGCCTGCACAGGTCTGTTGAGATTGGTATTTGGCAGCTAGTTTTACTGATGAAGAAGTGTGAGATGAGTTTTCAGGAAAATGGCGTCATGAACAGCAGTGATACCGAAACCACACACTTGTTTGGAAGCCCCGCACACCTGATGCGGAGTTCCCAGCCTCCATCAGTGCTTCTGGCCGCCTTTCAGAGCTGTCATCACTGCTGATGAGGAAAATTGAATTATAGATCAAGGCAGGAACGGAGCTTTCCCTCAAAGGGTCTTTTTTTCTGTGATCCATTATTTCTACCAAGTATCACTTTTCACATCTCGCAGTGTCCCAAGACTCATTTATTTGATTTAGGCAGGAAAGAAAATAGAGCTTGTGATTACTAAGCAGATTGTCTCCCTTTGAGATTCTGGCTTTTTTTTTTTTTTTCGTTTGGTAATCTCTTGGCTTTTTTCTTCCTTAAGTGTTCAGTGGGTTCATGCTGTATTTTATCATCATTGCTTCTACTTTTTGTATGTTGCTTTGGTCCATTTCCACTTTCCAGCTGCAACATTTCTCCTGGAGAAATTGCAGCAGTGCTTTTTGTTTCCTATAACCTTGGTTTAAGACATTCGATAATTGTGAGAGTCAAACAGCTTTCAGTTTGTATTCTGCACGTTAGACTCCATACAACTGATCTCTTTGTGAAGGTGATGTTGGGGCTGTGATTTAGCATTGTCAGAGTCAAAATATGCAAGGGACAAAAAGGAGCAGAGAAACACATAGAGTGACATAAAAAGCCAATTCAAGCTTTTCCGGTGATTTGCATTACGTAAATGATTCTCTTGGGGATTATTTTTTCCTGTTGACTTGGTTAAGCTTATCCAGGCTGGATGTGGCTCTGGCCAGCCTGGTCTGGTGGTTGGCGACCCTGCACCTAGCAGGAGGATGGAAGCTAGATGATCATTGTGGTCCTTTTCAACCCAGGTCATTCTATGGTTCTATAATTTTAATGAAGATATTGACTGAGTATCCTTGAACAGATAAATCTGTATTGAGGACCTGGCCTAGATCTGAGCTTTGTGTAATTACCATCATCATTGTCATCCCTGTATGGACTGCAGAGATTCTAAGAGAATTTGACCAGTGTTTTCTGACCAGTTATACTGCTCAGGAACCCACAGGTGATCTATTTTTCTGGTTTAACTCAGATTTGAGTCATTGTTCTCCTATGTTTATCTTGCAGCGTGTTGTTTTTTTCCTCTCTGAAGTGTTTGAATGCAAGAATTAAAAGAAAGTGGAATGATTCTGTGTTGTTTCTGTAAATTCCTCACAGAAACACCTGTCTTCCTTGGGTTCCTCACAGCTGCTGACTTTTTTTTTTTATTATTTTAATGAATTCAGCCCAGTGATTCCCTCAGTAATTGCACTGACAAAGAGACTTTCATGTATTTCTTCTGAGTGTCAAATTCCTTAAAAAAATAAGAAGTGTCTGTGTTTTGCATCAAGCTAAAAAGAAATTCTGGCTGGTCTGGCCCCTTACAGCTTTTCCTCGTAGGGAAGATGCTCCAGACCCTTTGTTATTTCTGTGGCTCTCTGTTGGATTCCTTCTAAGAGTCCTTTTTGAACTGAGGAGCCCAGAACTGGACTCTGAATTCAGCCTCACCAGGGCAGATTGGAGGGGGAAGATCACCTCCCTCGGCCTGTTAGCCGCACTCTTTTTAATGCACCCTGGGATATCACTGGCCTTCTTGGCCACCAGGGCACACTGCTGGCTCTTGGCCAACTTGCTGGCCATCAGAACATCTAGGTCCTTCTCCACAGAGCTCATCTCAGAGGTCAGCCCCTAACTTGCACTGATGCATGCACTTATTCCTCCCCAGGTGCAGGACTTTATACTTACTCTACTTAAACCTCATCAGGTTCCTCCCTACCCAGCTCTCCAGTCTCAGTATAGTGACACTTCTTCCAAAATATTTTTATATGCTTCCATGAAGTGAGGGCAGGTTCATTTTTTTCCTCTAACATTAGAAGACATTGTTGGTCTTTTTCAAGGAAGAACATTTGAGAATTCACGCAGTCTTCTCTTGCCAGTGTTGCCTTTCAGGGGGTTTGTAAAGGCCGAAGTGGCATGGCTGCTCGGCGACACCGTGCTAAGGTAGAATAGAAAATGTAAAGGCTGGAGTTGGGTTGTGATGAGAAAGCCATTTTCTCCCTTTGATTTTCAGTTACTTTTGTTCAGCTGCAGTAGCTCCTTGCAGGCCCTGTGCTGAGCATGTGGCTCCCCTCAATGCTCTCTGGGGAGGCCGTTGCACACAGCGGTGGAAAAGAAGGGTTGACACACAGACATCTAGTAGAGGAGGGATTTGCTTTGTGTTTTTATCTTCCAGTGTGGTACTGCACTTCAGTACAGTTGTTGTCCATTAATGCTTTAAATGTTCATGGTCTTTTGGGAGATTTTTGGATTTAATTGATAGCCTTTTTTAAAAAGGTAGTATTATCTGAAGCATTTTGTACTGTGAAATCCAGTTTAGAAATCACTTAAAAGTAATTAAAAGAAACATCAGCCTTCAAAAGCTGTAACCTTGTTTCCTCCTCAGGTGAGGACAGATTCATAAAGGTAGAGGTTGGGGCTTGTGGTTGAGTCAGAGCTGCTCCATCCTCTTGCTCCTTCATTTTTCATTCTCTTCTCGTAACACCTCACAACTTTTTAAAACCAAAAGGAAACACAGTGTGCAGATTTTAAAAGTAAACAAAATCAGTTCTAAAGTTTGGTCTGAAAAAACAAAGTTTTTTTTGCTTGAGAGATAATTGCACCAAGGTCTTGAGAAGAGAAAGTAAGTGCTGTGACTGCCCAAGTGTGGCAGCACTGTCAGATGCTTCAGTTGCTTTCTGGAATTCATTTGAAGCCAAATCAACTGCATCACTTTTTCCTGCAACCTCGGTTAAGCGTTTCTGGAAGTTCTTGCAATGCCTGACTCTCTTGGTCTGATTTTATTTGTTAAGTGAAATAAATGTAATTTGTGGTGACGTGCAACTGAATGATTAGCTGCACTGAAAAGGAGCAAATGGTTTTCATAGAATTATAAAAATCACAGAATGGTTTGGGTTGGAAAGGACCTTAAAGCTCACCCAGTTCCAACCCCCTGCCATGGGCAGGGCTGCCATCTACTGGATCAGGCTGCCTAAAGCCCCGTGCAACCTGGCCTTGAGTGCTCCAGGGACGGAGCAAATTTAAATTATTATTTACAATTTAAATTATTATTTAAATTTCCAGAACATTTTGAAAGGAGTTGAAGCTGTGAAAAAGCACTGATACATTTTACATGTGTTGTAAATGATTGGTTTCCTCCCCATGATCTTAGAAATCTTCATTTACCTCTTGTTCATGCAATGCAGCTCTGAGCTAACTACTCAAAAAATGAAGCGCAGCCACAGGAATTATAAATGTATTTTATAGAGGGTTAAAATATTACTCTCAAGATAAAAATGGAGTATGATGTCTGCCTGAGTGGTGTTGACCATCTCTAATCACTTTCTGTGCTCTGAGTATTTTAAGATTTTTTTATTTTTTTTTTTTTAATGGCTGCTCTTTGTTACAGAAATCAGAGGCTGAAATGGAAATTTTTAGAGAAGCTGGAGTACCAAGGAAGCAGAAAGTTACATCGTTTAATGTGACAGATGATGCCATAATTAAACCAGGTAATCTTTTTGATCAGCTGACTTAGATGCAGTCATTTACTGTCTGCCATTTCTTGTAGATCTAATCTAAGTCAAAAAGTGTGTTACGTTTTTGTTTTCTGAGGAATTTTGCCAACTATTGCAGAACTCTTATTTCTCTGTACTGGGCACAAACAAACTTGTTTTGTATCTTTATTTGCTTCCAAGGATGTTTTTTAGCAAGGGCTATTTGATGCAGTGCGGTAACTGATAAAAATCAAGTCTGGCATGAAGAGGAAGTCTAGAGTAATTAATGGAAGCAAGTGCTTGATATATAACAGAATTTCAGGTTTTCAATACACTGATTTTTACTGAAGTCAATAAGAGGGTGTATTTTTAATGTGTAACATCCTTCTCGTGCCTCATCTCACATCAGTTTCTTGCTGCTGACAGACCTGTTAGCCCAGGCTTGTATGGGTCATGTGATGACATCAGGCATGTTAGCCCAAGTCTATATGGGTCATAAAATAACATTATTTAATGTGAGGATTTTTGTTCTTGAGCAATAGGGAAGGTTTACATCATTAATACAGATTTGAAAATCACGTGATGTTAGTTGTGGGTATGACATGATTAAAATTTCATTTCTTTAATTGACTGCTAGAACTGTAGTTCTGTGGGTCTTCAGATTAAAATTCATTTGTAGGTAAACGAGGTTTGTTTACAATTGTGTTTGTCTTTTAAATGGTGCTTATAAAAGAATATTGCATTTGGACAAAAAAAAATGCTGAAGGCAAATCTCTAATTAAAATTTTAACTTTGATCAAGTGGGAAATTACACTCGACTGAGTGATGTCATTGACCTACAGTAGCTCTGGTCCTACTAAAAGTCGTGTATAGATAATTCCCAAGTGGATGTTCTTCTGTTGCAGTCTTTGGTTTAGAAACACCAAGTCCAGACAAAGAGGAGAAACTGCAAAGTTTTTTTTTACCTTTTATTTCTTTAATCCCCCAACCCCCTCCACGCTTTGTGAGGTGCTAGTTGTTACAAGGGGAGCATATTCTGTTTTCTTGCCAAGTTTGTTTATTGTGTCTTACCTAATTCCGTATTTGGGGCTTTTTTCATTGTCTCAAATGCAACATTTTTAAGTACAGCCCCAACCCCTCCTTCCTACTCATCTGAAATGGGGCGAGCAATTGAGAAAGGGGCTTAAGTTGCAATTAGCAAGCACCTATTTCAGTCACTTCAGAGGTTTATAAAGAAGCACAAATAATACATGGATTAAAAACAGAACTCTCTTGTGACTGTAGTCAAATGTGGATGGCAATGACTGGTATGATTTGAGCGTTTTGGCACTTGGCTCAAAATGATCTCTCCTCTTCTTTGAAGGTACTCCTCTGTATGCTGCTCACTTCCGCCCGGGGCAAGTCGTGGATGTTACTGCAAAAACGTACGTTCCCAATGTTCTCATGTATGCTTTATCCTTCTGATGGCCTGTTGAATTCTTTGTTCTGCTTTGGCTTGAATTTACAGCTCAGCAAAAGTTGAGATACAGTTGCAATGGAAATCTACTCTGCCCTTGGTCAGAAATAGCAGACTATCTTTCTCCTCTGAAGCTTTTGAATTTTGACATGGTTTGTAAACAGAAAAAACCTGAACCTTTAGGGCTATGGTTCTGCACGTGCTATCTGTCACAAATGTGATGAGTGCTGAAGGGCTTGATGCAGCCCAAGGAAGAGCTGCTCATGCTCAGTACGGGCCTGGAGGTCAGCAGTGCAGCCTGTGTGATACGTGCAGATGGGAGGAAGGAAGTGCCTCAACTCTCAGCAAAGCTGCCTAATTTTGATTTGGTGAAGAGATGCAAAGAGATTAATGATGTTGACAGAAAGAAAAGCAAAAAGATAGTGAGTACATTTAGCTGGACAACAGAACTGTCAAATTGCTGGATTGTTTTCTCTCATATTCCAGCTCATCTCTTCTGCCAGCACCAGCTAACGATCTTTTTACTTTAACGTAGGAGGAATGATTTCCTCTCAGACCACAGAATGCCAAATTAGGATTGAAGTGCTAGGGGGTGTCAGAAGAGTATCTGGCATCTTGCCACAGGAACTAGTCATGCTTCATCTGTTACATACACGATTGCCATTGCTCAAGAGAAATGAGAGCTATCTCCATGTGTTAGTGAAGTGTTTTTGTTGCATAGTGCCACCAAGATAATATTTTCCATTTGATGTTTAGCTTTTTGTGCAATGGAGATAACACCAAACTGGCTTTGTTTGAAGTGGCGTCCATTGCAATTGTCTCACATACATATTAGAAATGCCTAATGCTACTCACAGGGCTTTGCATATATTGGGGGAAATGGACTGTTTCAACACGGCAGAATAGTCAGCTCTCATATGGCTCAACTGAATACACCTATAAGGGCACCTTATCAAGGAGTTCTCTGGAATTAGCATTTTTCTATGTCAGATTTGCTTATGCAAACTTGCACCTGGTGCATTATTAATTCAGCATCTAAACTGTGTTCAGTGAGCAGCAGTTGGGAGACAACGGCTTGTTTGTAAAGCAAAATACTTGCATAATCAGGGATACGAGCATTCCATGCATGCAGAGTGCATGTCACACTTGGTTAATGCAGAAGAGCTTTGTTTTTGTAGTAGTTATTTCCAAGTGCTTAGGAAGGCTTCTTGCCACCTTGAGAGATACTGGTAAGCATCCTCAGAGTTCTGATTTCTATCTCACTGTGTGCATTTGAACCTACGAGCCACCTGAGAACAGACAATGTTCCTGCCTGCGTTCAGTGAATCCATCTCCTCTTGTTAGACAGTATTTTCATCTATTTGTGTGATCCAGTTTTGGAAATTAACTGTTTGTACCACTGATACTGGCAGCATGTCATCCTAACGTACAGGTGCTCGTTGTAAAGGGAGAAGAAAAAATTCTTAAATTGAAAGGAGAAATCAGGATTTTCTTTATCATGGGTTTTTCTCTTGGTATGATCCCCTAATCGTTCCAGTCTTTCTATGTCTGATATTTTTTTAAGCCTCCTTCTGTGCCATTCTGACTGTTACTTTACTTAATAACCACTCTTCTGGAGCTCTGCATTATATTACCTTGATTGTTGGGAAATAATTGAATTATTTGAGTACATTTCAGTTTTTCTTCAGGTATTTACTTATTATTATATTATTCCATATATTACAATCCAGTGTTTATTAGTCCCATTCTTGGATGGGTTTTGTTTTTATTTTTCAGAATACTGTATCCATCATTCTTAGTTACTGTCCATGTAAGGAACACAGATTTCACAAAAATATCCAAGAAATGCTTTGATGAAGAGTGAACAATTTATTTTGGGAACAATGGCTGCATTGGTCTGTAGCATTAGGGCTGCACTTTGGGATAGAAGTAAGAATATGTTTGTTGTTAGACTTGTGTCGGGACCGCACTGAAGAGGATACATCCTCTCTTTTCTGTAGGAGGAAGGAATCTGTGAAGGTTTGGTCCATAGGCTGAAATTAGCCTTTACTCTGTAGGGTCTCATTTGTAGAGATGATGGTGGGCACTTGGAGGTCAGAAGCCGTATCGGCATTTTGGAGAGTTACGTAAGAATATTGTGCTGAGTCACAGCAGGAGGCAACTTCTATTTCCCTGATTCAAACTGTTACAGATTTAAAAGCCAATAATTGCTACCACTGCTAGTACAGTTTTTAGAAATACTTCTTACACAAACACGTATTTCACATTTATGAGACTGTCAGGATTTTTTTTATTTGAGAAAAACAATGAAGTGTGCAATGCTGGAAGTCACGTGGATGATCATAGCGATGCTACTTTTCATAACATTATTAATTTTATTTAAATTAAAAAAAAAAGGGAAAGAAAATGTGCCACCCCTGTAAGGAGGGAATATAGTGGGATGTATAAACAATGTTTAAATGTTTACTGACTGTTAATGATCCAGATGAGCACAGTGTCCCTTTGTACACTTCCTGTGCCAAGGTGAAAATCAGAAAAGTGATCCTCAAACACGATAAGGTTTTGTTTTGTTTTTTAGTTCTCTATTGTATGTTAAACAAACTGCTAGTATTATGTTTCAGAAAAGACTTGGTTGGTATCTTGGTTAGATTTGATTATCAAAATGTAGGGTAGGTTTTTTGTTTGCTTGTTTACTTGGGGATATCTGCTTTTAAACTTTCCTTGGAAATATCATCTTTTGAAATGTTTTGATTCATTTATATCTCTGAAGAAGAGCACTCACAGCAACAAGAAGGCTCAGCTAGGGATAGGGAGAGTTTATTTTATATGAAGTCTCTTAATTTGCTTGGCACAGTGTGCGTAGCTTCTAAAACTCTGACAGTAGGCAGCGTCAGTCTGGGAGCTGTCAGTCCTGGTAGAGCTGAATTTTTTTCTTAGTCCTTGTCACCAATTTAAAATCCAGTCCTTAAATTTCATAGTTGTTTTTAAAGTAGGCTTGTCCTCTGTCTCAGAGGTATGTATCAAAAATGCACAGTATTTGGCACAGGAGTGAACCTCACAATTTCTGTGGCCTGTTAGTCATTTTTAGCCCTAATATTCTTTAAAATATATAGCACAATCCAGAAATGATTCTGTTAAGGACTGTGTTATTTGATGTGTTTGAGCTGGCATAGCTCCCAAAGAGGTGGTGGTGTTTCCTCCTGCACAGCTCTTCTAGCTTGCTGCCACCATGAGGTACATGAAGGAGAAGTGCTCTGTGATGTACCTGTTCTTCACTGGTCAGGCTTTCAACCGGACCAGTCACATGCCCCAGCTTGCTCCTCAGTGTGGTACAAAGATGTCCAAAACATGAAGTGGGAGGAGGTGGGACAGGGCCTTAAACTAGTAGCCTGAGTGCTGGATGGAGCATGAGTTGGATTAGATTTTTGTTCTGTCATTTCTTTGCCTTTCATGTGAACGTTTTCTGAAACTCATGAAACATCAGAAATTTTGTCACTCCAAAGAAATAGCCAAATTTTGAACGTGCAAATGGTGACTTTTTAAGTGCTTAGTGGCTTTATTTGAGCTTCATAGGCTAACAGCATCATCTGAATCCAAAAGTATTCTCTATAGTTGTCTGAAATCATTTGACTGAATAGGTAGAGTTTTCTTCCTCTACAGTATCTAAATAATTTTTCTTTAAATCAGCTAAGTTCAGTAGTGTGCGTTAATTACAGTGCTTTATTTTGGTATCTTTCAAATTAGTGTTGGGTCATTAGTCACTGGCATTTTACTTCTATCAGACCTAGAAATTGAGGTTTTGTAAGAACTGTGTAATTGAATTGAATGGCTGCTTTCTAGCAGGTGAGGTTAGAACAACTGTATCTAATTGAACTCTATTTCTAGCTCTACAGAATGATTATTTTCATTACATTTAGCGTTCACGTTAGTTTTGCGTATGCGGGATTGTTGCCTGTGGTTCCTTTATGGGATCCAAGCAATCATGCTTCAGTGGAGCTAAGTAAAGTAAGTGACTAAATTCACTGGATTACAAAAGAATACATGCTTGGTATACTGTCAAGCCTAAAGAAGAGAGGTCTGATGCATGCTTGTTCAGGTATTGTTTTAGTCCTTGATTCAAGCCAAGACAACAGGTAGTAAGTGTCTTGTCAAGAAATCTTAACAATGCAAGTAGGATGAGAAATGTTGTATATTTTAATGTAAATTCTTGATAACCATCTCGCAGATACCACACATGCAACTTGATTCTTTCAGAGTAGAATCTAGATGTTAATTCTGTTTGAAATATGGGTCTAGATTAAGGTCCCACTCTGCAAAACCACAGAGTTTTTGAAAATATTTCAAGTTAGCAGAGCTATACTTAGTAAAAAATTTTGGGGGTGCACCTTTTCTTATACGTTTGAGTTTGTTTGAAATCAGAACTGTATGTTTACATTTAAGGATTTCGTAGAAAAAAAATTTGAGGCATTCCAAGATGAGGTGGTGATGTAGGTCATCAAAAGAGAAGTAACTGTGGGAAAGATAACATGTTTCATTGGTATCTTTTACGGGTAATCCTGTTGTATTTCATATATGGTAACTATATGCTGTAATCTTTTGATTTTGGACTAGCTCACACTAAGAAATACTTGGTGGAAATGAACTCACAAGACTTTCTAACAGAGGATGTAGCATTCTCATGCTGGAATTTTCTGTTTTGTTCACTTTTGGAAAATATCACTTGGTTTGGTAATATTTTTTTGCATGTGACTGGTGATATTTGCTGTATTCATTCACACTTAGTAACTTTTAAAATGAGTGAAGAGAGCAACGAAGCAATCTGCAATTAATTGGTGATACTAAGAGCTGACAGCTAGCATCTGTTAGAAGCTGACAACAATGTGTTACAAATAATTGTTCTTTTTAGGCAGAATTCAGGAAGTTAAAGACAACTCTATACTGGTATAAATCTCTGTTCAGCATTGTTTCTTGAACAGCGTGCATCTTAAATTCTTTTCCTTGCTTGTATGAGATAAGTATTAGTTTCAAAACCACTTTGCATTTCGTACAAATGGAAGAATGTAAGATCTTTGCACTAGAAGTAAATTCTAAGTGATGAAAAAATTATTCATAGTATTTATTCTTTGCATATAATAGAGAAATTGCCACTCAAGAACAGATCACAGGCTCATCAACATGGACTCAGGTATTGTTCTAGAGTGACCAAGGAACATTAGCTGAGCTAATAAATGCCTGATTGAACAGTCCTCCTTTTTACTTGGGTTTAAATAGATCCTAGCAGTTCCATACTGAATTTTAGACTTTGTTTGAGTTACGTAATCCTGTAGCTTTTATTCTGGCTCCAGCTTCATTTCAGAAAAAAAGATGGGGAAGACCTACATGCTGTCTATATAATTGCTTTTCATCTTGACATGTGCTTAAAGAATGTTGTATACAGCTTTTTCTTTCTTAACAAAAAAAAATGAAAAACTCCAGAATGAAACAAAACTAGAGTTCCTTCTTACTAAATTATTTATTAAAAACCATTTTATTTTATGTAATTTATAAAACTTTGTTTTGAGTCATAATGGTGATTTGAGGGTCATGTTGAGTGGAAAACTTAAAGTTCAGAAAATGGTAAGATTAAGTGCATTTGTAGGTAATTCAGTGACCTTCAGCGAGTTCTTAACGTGGGAGAAGTGAAAATATTCTAAAGAATGATTGAATAAATATGATGAAAGAGCATTGGTAGTTAGTAAAGCTTTAAACGTTAGGAAAAATTCTAATTTCACAATGGAGATCTCTTTCTTGGCCTTTATCAGAATATTTCAGATATTGATGACTGTTTTCATATTCCAGATCAATAGATACCTGAGAAATGTAATGTTTACCAGTATACTATTTTTCCAATCTGTACAAACTTTCTATACATTTTCTTAAGGTTTTGGTGTTATAAACTGAATGTGTGTATAGCCAAAGAGAAAACTAATAGTAGATAAGCATCTACTATCATTCTATTGCATCATGCATAATATAAATCATTAAACTCTAAGAACTCTTGTGGTATCTCGTTACGTTTGATGAAATAAATAGTTCCTCAAAAGTCACCTCTTGGAAATATAAAAATGCAATCCTGCTAGAAATACTTAATATTTTACTGGAAAGTACAGTATACAGGGTTCAAAATTGTTGATTTCTTAAAAGTGATCTGAACAAAATGAAATATTGAAGTGGTTCATGACTTCAGGGATTTTGCTTCTTGGTTGAAGTTGACAGTAGTGTTTTCTTTTGAAATAGTGCTTTAGATGGCTCTGTGGTTTTCTATGAATTGCAAGAATGTTTCTGCAGCTAAAGAATTAATCATGGCCCCCAGTGTGCTCTCTCTGCTAAGTGCACAGCTGTTGTATGACGCACTTGCACTTGGCTTTGGAGAGTTTGCTAATTCCATCTTCCAGTAGAGATGCCAGAAGCAGTCTACTTGGAAAACATGGCTGTAATGGATAGTTCTAAAAGAAAAAATTGCTGCAGGCAAGTAGGCCACCAATCAGAGTATTCAAGTGGAAGAGGAAAGAACCTCCCTTTGGAAATGTCAATGTTTTCAGCATTTGTCTATTTTTCTCTTCACTTCTGCTATCAGGGAAGATGACCAAGTGTTGTCCATAGGTACAACTACAACATGGAAGTATGCATGATTATTCCCAGTTTTATTTTCCTGTGTTTGGCTGGAAGGTTCTGATGCTGCAACTAACAGGACTGCAGCATTGGGAAGTGCATTAGCGGAGAAAGGATCTCTATAAATTGGATCATCTTACAATAATTAAATGATCAGGACAGCCACAAGCCCTGTGGACAGACTTTTCCTTTTGGAAACTGACAATGTGGATTTAAGCACACACTGTAATCTGCTTTTCTTTTGTGTAACAATGAGCCAGATTTTCCTGTTGGGTCTCTCCTTGCAGTAAACAGAACTCCAGAGCCAGTAATTATATTTGCCTCAAATGTTGAGGCATTGAAGATGCTTTATTTGTTACTTTGTTTTACAGTTTGTCAAATGAGTCCAGATCAAATCTGTTAAATGCTTTTACTACAGACTGTGTAGTGAAAACAAGCTGTGTTCAAGAGATGGACCTATTGTAGTTGGGAGAAGAAATGTTCCTTGATTTATCTTGAAGTCCAAGCAGCCGTACTCTTCCTTTCTTGACATTGCCTTTCATTAAGTTGTGGTATATTTTGTTATACAGCTACTTTTGGTTGGGGTTTTTGTTTTTATGGTGTCAAATATTGACATTGGTTAAAAATTTTTCATAATACCACATACAGTCACAGCTGGGAACATTGTATATTGTTGTAGCATGACTCCATCATGCTTCTTACTCTCTAAAGCAACACTGAAGTATTGTACTAGAATATGTTCATTGTATAGATATATTTAAAATATTTTCTTGTATCTGAAGAACTTTGCTAAAAGTAAAAAGTAAACATTTATAAAATGTTAATGAGTCTGACTTAAAGTATTGTTTATTGCTGGAAACTTTACTGTAAGTCTAACCCAGACTTGTTTCTTTATTGTTTTCTTTACAGAATTGGTAAAGGGTTTCAAGGTGTCATGAAAAGGTGGGGATTTAAAGGCCAGCCAGCCAGCCACGGCCAAACTAAAACTCACAGACGTCCTGGAGCAATATCCACCAATGTAAGGATTCTTATGCCTCCCCACTTTCTGTTGTAAACATTCTCCTGTATATTTAGAACTACTAACTAGAAATGAATTATTTGCTCTGTGGCAGCAGAGAACCCCAGCTGTTCCAAGTGAGATTCAGAAACCTGTATAATGAACAGTGCAGATAAATGTATGAGTGTACTTTATTGCTGGTAAGTAGCTGAGCAAATTGTGGCAGTCTTGTACTGTAGCTGAAATAGTGCTGAGAGAAATAGTCTTAAAACTTCACAGAGAATTCTAAAAATCATTTCTGCATTAGGGAAGATTTACTCGTTGTTTTATGCTGCAGATATTGTGCTGTTCTCTGCAGAAATAGATGGCTGTACTGTGAAACCCCCAATTGCTTTTGTCACTTATACTGGTTTGTGGAGCTGCTTAATGAGCTCTTTCATCCCAGAAGTAGTTCCTTGGCTTCGTAGCCTTTTTAAGCAGACTATGAAATATTTTCAAGTTTTAAACTATAAGCAGTATTACTTGAAAAATTCTTTGAAACAGATACATTTTAAATTCTGTCCTTGTAACATTTGCACAACATTTAGGCTGAACTAAGAGGACTTTCTGCAATCTAGCTTTGCTGCAGAATTAAAACCAACAGTCACAGTACTGAGCCTGAATTGTCTGTAATTTTCCAGTCTAGTGCTGACCACCTCAGGTGTTTTTGTAATCCTGCCCTGTGCAGGACAAAATTGTGTTCTAGAGCTTTATTGCACTTGATTTTCTGAAATAAAGACTTTCCAAGAAGTTGAATAAATAAAGACAATTAATTATTAATACGATGTTATAGGAGGCTGAGGCAAAACCATGGAAAATACTATAGAACTGAAAATTACTTAACTTATTCAGTTATTCTTGCCTTTTTTCTTTTCTTTTTTTTTTTTCTTTTTTGGTGCCTTTTATTCTCCAGGCTATTCCCAGTTAAGCAAAAATGGAATACAAAAATTAAGCAATAGCAAGAAGTGTCATTTTAGATTATCTTCTGAAGAAAACACATGCTTTAAAAATCCATTGTACATAAGTATAAAACTCATGGATTGGATGAAGGGAGAAGCTAAACTTTGTCTTAACTATGGCAATCTTCTAAGGCAGGACTGCTCTGGAGCTCTACTGGCACCCGCAAGTATTTTAGGCATGTTTGCCAGTTGCTACTGGCTATGATATGGATGAGAGTGGTGTGATGACAGCAGTTTCAAAGAACGGCACCTTGTCTTCTTTTTCACTAAACAAGTATATGAGATGAGTGAATATTTTGTCTGAATCTATAACAATTACATATTAAGCAAAGCTAGAATCCTTTAGTGGTTACAGCAGTATTACTTATAGTGGTTTTATGGTTGAGGTCAATTATTTCAGACAACACACAAAGTAATACTTAGCATCCAGCAAGTGAGGATTAGCATTTTAAATGCTTATCAATATTACATGTTTTCAACATTGTAAATACCAGCCTATTTTCCTTCCAGCTACTCTCAAGTTTCTAGGATGCCTTTTGCAAATATGTAATTTTGAGGTCTATTTTTATCTAGAAAGTTTCCAGAGTTTTTCCTGGAAAGAAAATGCCTGGTAAAATGGGTAACATCTATAGGACGTCTTTTGCATTAAAGGTAAGTCTGACTGTACTGCAGTGTGAATAAGGGGTGCATCACCAAGCAGCTGGACTTAGCTGTGTGTCATGGTGTACTGTCTGCTGCTTTTGCCAGCAGTAAGCTTATTTGAAAGATGGTAGCAGCAAATGTGTGTTCCTGCCTTTTTGTGTCTTACAAAGATGTCTGAATTTTGTTTACATGTACGTAGTCCGAGGGGACTGTGGTTTCAGATGACTCTTCCGCAGCTCTCGTTTTGCACTCTGTCCCTAGACCTCTGCCTCTGCAGTAGAGAAAGCATTCTGGTGTCCTTCAGTGAATATTTTCATGCCCATTCCGCCTGTTCAAAGCCTATTACATCTACTATTCTGTCTCTGCCAGCAAGCTCTGCAGTTTGCACAAAAAGCATATTAGCCTTTAGGCTGCGGACAAAGCGTGCTGCTGCCATCTAACTAAAACTAATGATTCATAACTAGAAAACGTGCTTGTTCAATTGAGCACTTCATGGAGTTTAGAAACTGACAAATGGGTGCAATAATGTTTGCCTGAACATATTTGTCTTAATTTGTCACACAGGAGTTCTACAACAGCTCTTAGTGTTAGGGGGGAAAAGAGACCTGGGAGTTTCAGTTAGGCTGCCTTAACCTGCCTGACTGTAAGCGCCTTAAAACTGTTTGACTCCTGAATTAGAAGGCTGTGCACTTCAAATAGCGTATGGCTGAATGTTGTGGCATGTTAAGGTCTCTGCAGAACATTCTTCTTCCTCAGAATACCAGCTCCAGTTAATCAGTTTGTGCTTTACTTAGCTGCCATTTGTAAAGCTGGAATAAAATGAGCTTAGAAATGTTGTGGTTTCTTTGTCTTCTAGGTGTGGAGGATCAACACAAAACATGATATTATTTATGTACATGGCTCTGTTCCAGGTCACACAAATTGTCTGGTGAAGGTATGTGGGCTAGTTTCAACTTTCTGGTGTTAGTGACTGCTAAGCTCTCTACTGTTCTCTTATTAAAGCAGGAGAAAAAAAAAAAAAAAAAAAAAAAAAACCAACATCATTGAATGCAATCATCATTTCTTTAGAGTTCAATCTTGTATTATTGAATTAAAGCAAGTAGGATCAGCTCTCTGAAACAGTGGTTAATAGGAGCGGTGGATCACTGCTTAAAAAGTTCATTTTTAGGTTTGCAGCAGGATTGTGCATTCTTGTAGCATGTGATAAGCCAGCAATTACTGGAATTCTCAGGGCTAGGTGCATCCTCTTCTAATCTGAGTCAATAGTATGTTGATGAGATCAGAATGTTATTTAAGGGCTGTTTTCATGAACAGAATACAGAAATACAGCAAGCACTGCCTTAAAAGTTATTCAAGGCATTCACATACATGGTGGCACTTGCTTTCTAAGAAGTAATTGAGACAGCTTGAGTTCACAACGAGTTCCCTTTGCAATCAGTATAAATGTATCTGTGACATTTTACAGAATTAATTGTCAATTGCTAATTTTATGGAGAGCATTTTAAGATTATTTAAGAGAAACTGAAACAGTGAGAAGTCTGTGTTTTTACAATGTAGATAATTTACATCAAAGAAAGGCAAATACTTCCGAAGATTTTTTTTTTTCCAAAATAGATTTTTCTTCCTACTAAGTATATTCTACACATATGCAAACAAATTCCTTGTAAGTTGTTTCTTTTCTGATTTAACATGTTGATATCAAATATCTTTAATAATGTTGATTATAAAGATCACCAGATATACAGGTAGGTTTATAACAAATATAGTTTAAAATCCTCAAAAGCACTGTAAGGATTTAAATGATCTTTCTTTAAGTGATCTCTTGAGAAGCTACAGAGTTCAGGAAGTTCTGATGTTTTGAACAAGTTTATTATGTTCTTGGACTATTTTTACCATGAATGTTTCTGATATTTATTGTCTGGTTGTGGAGCAGAAGTCCACAGTCCAGTGGCTGGGCATTAGGTAAAGTAGAGCTAGCTTCAGAATAGGTGTTTTACAGCAAAATGTTTCTTTCTGTGTTTCTCTGGTTGGAAAGCAGGCCCTTTTTCTGAGCAAGGCGTATATGAATTGCTTTGATTGTCCTGTCTGCTCGAGGCCGGGATAATAGCTTTACACATTTCTCTCCCAAGATTTGGATGATAAAAGGGGTAAACATGTTCAGGAGAAAAAGCTTTCCAGGGGAACTTTTCTGCAAAATCGCTGTGCACTACATAAATGACATAAAATGAAGGCTGTAGTTTCATTGGCTTTTCATTGGTCTATCAAACGAACAACCTAGTCTTCAGCTTTGTTCTAAGTATCTTTATTCAGCCTGAGACTTGAAACTGATAGATAGCTTTACATTAGTCTGAGGTTTAATTAAGTGTGAATTTGTTGTCAGATCATAGTTTTAAATCACATATGTATACGAGCAATGTAATGTAGCTGAAAATACTATTAACATTTGATGCCCTGTCCTTATTACTTGATCTTAATAGTACTCTTAAGAACTAATTGTTGCAAAAGATTGTGCATCTTTGTAATGCTGTTAAAATCCATCCGCACTTAAGTGGTCCAGTGGCAAATAAATGTACTCATCTCAGATCCTACAAGGATGTGTTTCATGAAACCGTTGAGGCTTTGAATACAGTTCTTATTTGTACTAACTTAAGACTTATTTTAACTAGACTCAGTAGGTTCTTTGTTTTTCAGGTTTCTAAGTTAGTTAAGAGAAGAAACACTTATTAAACATCTGTAATATAGCCTGTGTTATACATTTTTGTGTATACCGTGAAGCTGTCGTTTAAATCAGCGCTACCTTATTGATCAGGCACTATACATTTCTGTTTGGAGAACTTACTGGAAATGTGCTTTCCTTTGTGATGAACCTCTTCCACCCTTTTATTTCAACTTTACCTTTTCTTTGCTAAGAAATTACTCTTGCTTAGCGTACAATCAATGAACATACAGATGATGTAGTATATTTGAGAGCTTGACTTATGTAATTGTTATACTAGAGCAGAAAAGGACACTCACCCTATCCTGGTCTCGTATAGGAAACTCCAGTGGAGTAGATCTCCAGAAGAGATCCTTCTCTACTGGTAGCCAGCTCTTAAATGGGTCTAGGAGGGGTGCAGCCAGGCTCCAGCCCTTCCTGCAGCACAGCTGAATTGCCTTCACCTGTGCTCCTATGGCTGACTTATTGCTCACCTCAGGTGATCAATCAGCGCTTCAGGCCGTGATTCAGCAGCCCCATACACTCGGTCTGGAACATCTCCCCTTTACCAGCCTGGCTTTTCTGTTTTTGTTCTGAAAGCAGTCCTGCTGTTAGCTTAAAAAAGAAATGCTTGAGGCAGCAGTACTGCCATTTTCCACAAACTTGTTGACAGGAGACTGCTGGGCCAAGCCATCTGAGCATATCCAGTAAACAACTGTGTTGACATCTGTAACGTGAAGAGGATAATGGACTTTGATTGTCAGGGCAGTCTGCTGCATTAATAGCTAAGTGCTTGCCATTTCTAGTGGCCACTTCTGTTCAGTTCACTCACCACAGATAATGATTGGAACTTTATCCTAATATCAAAAGTAAAGATGACTTCATAGCTTTTTTTTTTTCACATGATTTCTGCCTTATTATTATTATAAAAGATGAGGAAGAGGCTGAGGTACTCAGTGCCTAATTTGATCTGTCTTTAATGGTCGGAACAGTTATTCTGAGGGTACTTAGCCCCCTGAGGGAATGGGGAATAGAATAAGCCTGCCTGTAATTCAGGAGGAAACAGCAATCTCCTGCTCCAACTAGGCTATCACAAGACTATGGACCTTGATGGGACCCACCCAAGGGTACTGAGGGAACTGGCAGAGGTGCTCACCAAGCTACTTTCTATTGTTTATCAGCAATCCTGGTCAACCAGGGAGGTTCCAAACGACTGGAGACTGGCCAGTGTGATGCCCATCTACAAGAAGGGTCAGAAGGTGGGTCCAGGGAACTTGAGGCCTGTCAGATCAGTATTGAAAATCTTCTAGAGCAGATCATCTTGAGTGCCATTACACAGCATCTGCAGGACAGCCAGGGAATCAGGCCTAGACAGCATGTGTTGGTTCTTGGAAGGCAGGTTCTGCCTGACCAACCTCATTTCTTTCTATGACTGGGTGACCTACCTAGTGGCAGAGGGAAGGGCAGTTGATGTAATCTGCTTAGAATTGAGTAAAGCCTCTGTCTCACACTTCATCTGGAGAAGCTGACAGCTTGGAGAGGTGTACTCTTCACTGGATGAAAAACTGACTGAATGCCAAAAAGGCCAGTGCCATCCTGACTTGTATCAGAAGCAGTGTAGTTGGCAGAACTAGGGAAGTGATTGTTCCTCAGCACTGGACACTGATGAGGCCACACCTCAAGTACTGTGTTCAATTTTGGGCCCTCACTGCAAGAACCTTGAAGCCCTGGAGAGATCCAGAGATGGGCAGTGAAGCTGTGAAGAATCTGGAGCACGAGTCTTATGGGGAGCGGCTGAGGGAGCTGCGATCATTCAGTCTGGAGAAGGGGAGGCTCAGAGGAGACCTGATCGCTCTCTACAGCTGCCTGAAAGGAGGTGTGGTGAGGTGGGGTTAAGCCTGTTCTCCCAGGTAACAGTGATAGCATGAAAGGGAATGGCCTCAAGCTGTGACAGGGGATGTTCAGGTTGGGTATTAGGAAAAATTTCCAAACAGCAGTGAGGCAGTGGCACAGGCTGCCCAGGGTGGTGGTGCAGTCACCGTCCCTGGAGGTGCTCAAGAACCGCGTGGATGTGGCACTGAGGGATGTGCTCAGTGGGCATGGTGGGGATAGGATGATCCTAGTGTATTTTCCAGCCTTAATGTGATTCAGATTCTGTGATTCAGAGTGACACAAAGCACTTTTCCAATTGCTTTGCTGTCTTTTAGTTTGATGATCAGAATCTGTGTTAATTGTACTTGTAATATACCTATCTTTTTGCAAATGTTTCGAGCCATAGTTATCTGAAATTTAAAAGTCCAGTGTCTTCAGGTATGGTTTTTGGCATACATATTTCAGAGTTGCAGCTACTTTCATTATTAGAAATGAAGGTTGAGGTGGAAATAAGTGTTTCATCCCTTAGGGCTGTCTGACTAACGTAATAGAATATGTGAAGGAACTTGGCCAAATTGCTACAAACTCAGACTTCCATGGACTTTTTATTTTAAAATCTGTTTTGAGATGAAGATGCAGTACTCACTTGTAGTGGTTTTTAGTTTGTTGTGAGTATTCCTTCCACGTTTGTTGTTTTGTTTTGTTTATATACAGACTTTGACTTTCTTTACATTGATGTATAGCTGTTTGTAGCTGAGCAGAGAAATCATAGGATATCAGCTTTCATTATAACTGTTAGTTGCACTAAATACCTGTCTGCAATTAGGTAGGAGTAGTGTCTAGGGGATGTGAAACCATCTGTCTTTGAGCTCAAGAAGTGAAATATCACATTATACTCTTCTCTGCGTGCCTCTAAGTGGAAAGCATTCTTTGTTCAGTACCCACTCTTTGTTGCTTGGTAACCATTAAAATCACAGTGCACCTTAAAGCATGTATTTATTTTATGTTACGTAAAGTAATGAAGTAAGTGGAAACTTACTGCATCAGCAGATGGAGATGAAGCACTTAGATTTTTTTTCAAGTTTCATTATCAGCACAAAAGGTGCAGAATATGGGGATCAGTGGATTCCTGGTTTAATTAGAGCACAGTTTTCATTTGATATTGTATGCTGAACCATAAAGTTAAATAACTGACACAAGTAACGTTTCTAAGCCAACTGGAAAACCAATCAACAAAGCTTACTTTAGCATGGATTTCTTTCTCAATGACAAGGTCTAACAAAGTTAAGAAAAACTGTCAGCACGGTAGAATGTGTGGAATTTTTTGTTCGTAGTGTGGTGTTGCAGAATGAACATCAGTACATTACTGTGTTGTGCCTACAAGCACAACCTCCCTCAGGTAATACCTGTTACTCTTGCTATATCTTTTTAGATTATAGAACCTACAGTTAACTACTGTGGTACTGATTCTCTGGGGCAAATAAAGCTAATAGCTTTAGTTGGTTGGGTGTTGGTTTTTTTTTGGTTGGTTCATTGGTTGGGTTTGGTTGCTTGGTTTTGTTTTTCCAGAAGCTGATGGTGCTTGCTTCTTTTTTCTTTTCCCTCCCATATGTATTATCAGAAAGTTCTCTATTCACTTATTCAAGAGAAAAGCATAAGACTAACCTCTTTTTAAGTATCTCCTTTCTAACAGAGGGGATGTTGTAATATTGTATATTATACTACTGGATGCTGTAGTTTAGGTTTTATAATATTTCATACATTACCTATTTTTAAGACACTTAGTTTTTTTCATATATTCGGTGCCGAACACTATGTTGATTTTTGCAAGGTACAATTAAACTTGAAGCATATCACTGCTTTAGTGTAGTAGTGTGTTTGAGCTAAGAAACAACTTCTCAGTCTTTCCCTACCGTTTCTTACATTTTTCTCTTTATTAAAAGCTTGTAGAAGTTTGCATCCTAGTTATTTTGTATCTCACTTGCCAATATTGCTGACACCTGAGTTGGGTGTGCTGTGCTCAAATGGAGGAATTGTTGGAACAGTGTTATTCCTTGACCTCTTTCACCTTCCCTGTCCTTGTCCGTGATAGATTGGTGTGGGGATTTTCTTTAAGGAAAAGTAAGGCAGGTCAGATATGGTTATAGTTCTTGAAATACTTCTTTTCTCTAACTGAAAATGGCACAGTGGCTGAGCTAGGTAACATATGACACCTGAGATTACTTCTAACATTCAGTATATTGAAACACATTTTCCTGTCTGGCAAACAGTTTGCATTCTTGGCTATGGTTGCTAACACAGCCCGAAGCCCTGTTAAACTGCCAGTGTGAGTTGTGACTTCAGCATCAGGTTTTAATGCGTGCTTAAGACCATATTACTTCATGTTGATAGACTGCTGAATTTGTGTTTGTTTATACCAGCCAGACTATATAGGACATGCATATCTGCAGTTTATTAAGTGTCTGCAAGCTCCATGAATGTTAAAGATACAGTGACAAAACCATGACAAAACCATGACAAAGTCCAATTTCAACTTTCTCTAAAGCTTTTCTCAGTTAAAAAAAAAAATCACTTAGAATATACTGTAGTGCTACTATGTGTATTACCTACCTGTAGAATAGAATATACAGTAATATTGACAATATTTAAGCAAACCAGGTGGTTATGTTGTTTTGAGTTATAGAGTGAATGCTTCTATGGATTATGATAGTCAGTTGGGCACTGAGCACAGCTCCATCTGTGAGTAAAAGCTGGAGCCACTCAATTTTAATAACAGGGCATTAACACTCGGATATCATGGGATTCCCTGTTTTCCCCATTTTTTTCCCCTTATTTTTTCTTTCTTAGAGGAAGAGAGCAGAAAGGGGTCAGTGCTATCAGTTGTGAATGCATTGGATTTATACTGCCTGAAAGCCTGAGAAGAGTTCTGCTTAAAGATTTAATGATGACATGCCTAAGAATTGTAGATGTTACTTTGTAGGGCCTGCAGGCAGTTATGAGAGAGGTTTGTATGTTGATTCTTTGTAAATAATTGCAAATGTGTTAGAGCCTACTGCCTTTCTGTAAGAGATTACCAGAGCAATTGCTTATATAGCAGTTTCAACACAGAATGTAAAAGATATTTTATAGTTTCTGGGAAGGAAGAAAGTGAAGTGTTACTTGATACAGTTTTGGAGTCTTTGCTCTAAAGGATTGTTTTGCAGTGGGATTGTGACTCTGAGGAATAAGGTAAAAGACATACTGTTTTTCCCTTTATTAGGGCTGCTCTCAGAAGATTACTTGGATAACTGGAAGACCTGTGCTGTGTCACTTAAAAGACAGTATTTGCAGAAACAATTATAACTGCTGATGCATTCTGTTTAGCTTCTTTATATTATTGTGAAATTACTGTGCAGAAATCTGAGCTATTACATACAGAAAATTTGGCGTGCTGCATTATTCATAAGCATAAAGCAAGACATCCAGGAATTCTGTAGAAAAAATAGATAAAAATTGTACCATGTTTTGAGATGCTAATTGGAATTTTCACATGTGAAGTGAATTTGTATTACTTTTTTTTATAGGATCAATAATACCTAAGAACTTTTGGAAGTTCAAAGACGGAAAGAGGGAAATTCATTCAATCTGATATTAATGCTCTAATATGATGCTTCAGGATGTTTCGCCTGATGCTTTACTTGCACTTGAAAGCAGCGAATATCGGAAAAGATGAAAAAAGAGCAGTATTTTTTACCAGTCTAAAAACATCTGTATCAGTTACAGCAATCAAAATACAGAGTGCATAAGAAGAAAAGAATTTTAACACCAGCCGTGGTTCATACTTCTGGGATCTGTCAAGATTCTGATGAGTTTAGAAGGGGTAAAATGAAATATTGCCGTGTGATGGTCTGTGGAAAATATCCCATAAGAATCTTCAGACTTGAAGTATTCCCTTTATCACAAAAAAGCTACCATCTACCACCTGATGTTAATACATGAAATGTAACAGAAGCAGGTTGAACAGAAATCTTATATTCATTTAGATAAACTAATGTAGCACAAAGATTTGAACATTGACTTTGCCTTCAGTTAAGAACAGACATCTTACTCAGAAGTCTTCAGATTTGCTTTAAGAAAAAAGAAAAAGAATGGAAAACAAACATTTAAATTCCTTTTTAGGAATTTCAAACAGCCTCTAACACCATATGTCTATAATGAGAATAATCCAAAGTAGCAAAAAAATAGACATGAAAAGCAATCTATGCAAAAGAAATAAATAAGGTATCAGAAATAATTTATTTTTATCTTCCTAAATATACTGTAAAAGTAGAGACCGTGTATATTTTTGCTGTCTTCCAGGAGAGAGTTAGCAAAGAAGTCTTGTGATGTGCTGTGGGATTAGGGAGGAGAGAATAAGGGAATAATAGTAACTAGTGAAGTTATTAAAACATGTTTATCTAGTAAAAGGAATGACAGCAGCATACTGAATGGGAAAGATGACTTCTTGGCCGCAGCAGTTTGGGTGTGTGTCTGCTTGTGTTTCCTGTGAACTCTCTGTAGTTGGAACTGCTGCAGCAAAGGTCTTTGGGCTTTGACCTCCACCTGGTTTACTGTGTGTAGATGTGAACTCCTGTCTGTCCCAGGTACTGGTACTTCAATAGATATGTGTGGCAGTTGACAACTAAATAGATGGTGTCTGGTAGAAGAGGAACAATCTAAGCCTTTCTCCCCCTAATTCTCAGCAAAATATTTTCTTCTGTTTATTGAACCTGCACTTATAAAACTGTTAGAACTTCTTCAGGAAAAAAAAAAATAGCAGTTTTCCAGAAGCTGAAGCTTAAGTCAAACCTTTTGTGTACTTCATCTGCAGGAATCCTGCTGGACTTTGGCTAAGGCTCAAGTAATAGCTGATATGAATCTGGTAAATACTGGCTGTCAGAACAGAGCTGTCAGCAGGCATAAAATTGTTTTATTTAATTTCTGCTGTAAATCACAGTTCTCTTATTTGAGGCTTTTTTTAACCAAGTAAGAACAAGCTTCCTGCTCTTAAGTCCAACCAAAAAAGAGATGGGGGTGAGCAGGAGAAAGAGCTTATCTTCACTGTACTGAAATTTAATCTTGTTGCACCTTTCTTTAATCCAATTGAATTTAGTGCCTGAAAAGAGATTATTACAGCTCCAGGAGGAAGAGCATATGTAATGATACAGAAGTGAAGCATTTTATTACAAATGAAATTTCATTATTTGAAAATTTGTAGCTCTTTTTTCTAAGGAGATACTGTTCCTCTATCTTCCGCCACAGACAAACTGCCTTTTGCTGATAATTCTAACTAGTAATTTTCTTCAGAGATGGGAGTTTTGGGGGTTAGGTTTTAAACCTCTTCGCCCTGTAGAGAGGTCAGTAAAGGAAAGTTATTTCTCTCTGGCACTGCAGTTCGTAAAATTAACTTTCTTAAGGGCTCACGTTCCACAAACGTGGGCACTGATTCCTATGGGAAGAAGTCTCCATAGTTGATCTGCAATCATGGAACAGCTCTGCAGTAGCCAGAGGGAGCACTTACAGCACGTGTGTGTATCTTTACAAAATCAGTTGCCAGAACTGCATCGTAAATACAAAAGCATGTCTTGGCTGTTGAAGAGGACGATTACACTGCATAATATAACTTGGTGTGTCATGTAGGAAAGCAGTGTGGGATATAACACAGTTAAACAAGTCCTGCTTACCTTCACTTAACATTAAAATACTGAGTAATGAATTCATAAAAGTAGGAATTGATTCTGTCACTTTGGTACGAGCAATAATAAATTCTCCATTGTTTTTTTTTTGTTTGTTTTATTTGCTCTGGTGGTGAGTGGGGTGAGGCTGTGCTTTCTGCTTGTGCTTTTTTAACTCATCAGTGACTAGGTTACAAGCTGATATTAAAAGAACTGATTGTATACAGAATCCTTCAGATAAGCAAGTATAATGTGAATGCTGCTGTTTTTGCTTACTCATGCTAGATGATTTCCTTAATTTCTTGTGCACTTGTCTGAAAGTCTTCTGTAAGATTTATTAACCTTCCTTTTCCTCCCTTGCTTTTAGGTCAGAGATACAAAACTGCATGTTTACAAAGACTGCAATAAAAACCCTCCTTTCCCCACGTTTTTTGCTGATGGAGATGAAAAACTGCCAGAAGACTTGTACGACCAGGACATGTTCCAGTTCACAGATCCATCGGTCACGTACGCGTAATGTTTTTGACATCTTTGAAAACATGGAATTTTGTTATTTGTATGAACTTTGCAATGCTGTATAAAAGTGAACCAATGAATTGCAATCTGGCCAACTGACCTGGACATTTCGTATATTGCTGTTTTGGTCAGGTAAAAACTCAAGATTGTTGATAAATCAGCAGGTGAGTCTAAGGGACAGGTTGCAAAGCTTATCAGAGCAGTTAGTCTTCATCTTTGTCAGCTATCTTTTGTCCTGTGCCACAGACTGTGAAAACTTAGAGATTTCTGGAAACTGTTGAAGATGGCTTTAGTTTGATCTTCTGAATACTACCAAACTCTGTGTTTGTCCTCTATGGAAACTAGCCTGGGCAACTCTGATCAGTCAAAAAAAACTTTCAGATAGGCTTTTGCATCTGAGGGGGTGAATAAATCAGATACAAATCCAACTTAATAAAGAATAGCTCAGAATAAAAAGGGAAAATACACTGATTTGGGCTTGTTTTATTTCTTTTCACCAGAACTCTTTCCTTTTGCTTTAACGTTGTTCTGAGTTGAATTAGCAGATACCCAACAAATTTCCTGTAAGAGGGATCATGTCAACCACTGTCTGTCTCTTCAGAGAGACTGTGTGTACGGCAAAGAGGTGTTCAGGTGGGAAATGCTCAGTAACAAAGAATCACTGAGACTGCAGTGGCCACCTGTTTGCTACCTTCACTGATACCTTCTTCACAGAGGCTCCCTTGCGTGTTCCTGGAAGTCACGTCACTGCATTTAAGATAGTCTCTGCCTTGGATTCTTGTGGTTTTACAGGAGACCTTTCATAAAAGAGGCCAAATGTGAAGAATTTCTCTATGCTAATGATTAGCTTTCTTCTACTCCACCTTTTAATAGTGGGCTTCTGTACACTCTTTTTATTCTTCATGTGATTTCCTATTTGTAAGTCTGATCTTCTGGACACTGTAAGTCCTCTTGCACGCAGAAGCAAATATCTGTGTAACTGTCAGGGTGCCATCTGAACATTTATTTACAAACCCTACAGTAATTAAAGAATTTACATCTCTTGAGCTACTATTAATATTTTATTAGTGCTGTCTGTTCATCATTGCAGCTTCATCGCAAGATGTCACACACCTTAAAAAAAACATCCTTGCTAATACCAGTTTAAAAGTGATGTTCTTGTCTTTATGAAATCTCTGTCAGTCCCTGAGGTTATTTTGAATTTTTTGTAATAGCTTGAAGAAATACCGTGCTATCTTAAAAGAGGCTACGTGATCAGGTGAATATCTACATTGTGGCATGCTCTTAGTTGGATTCAGCCAAATTTTAAATCAAATATTCAGCACGCTGATTAAATCAGATAACAGCACTCCCTTTCTGCTTCCCCTTCTCTTCAGTATCATTGGCTCTGCAAGTGCAGGCATCTCACAGCACATGTGACTCAATAACCTGTACACTGTAGCAAACAAGCAGTGGTATGCAGCATTTTGGCTGCAATACTAGCAGTGAGTGCAATCTGTCACACATACAGGATAGTTGCTATTTCCCAAGGAGATGTTTGATCTTCCATCTCCTGTTAATGCAGCAGAGTTTAGAAATTGCAGCATTTCAATACTTGCTGTCAAACACATGTAGATCAGGAGATTTCCAACTGCCTAGTTTATGTCCTGCTCTGGTTTATAAAATAATTCTGGTGGATACAAACTTTGCACAAGGAGATCATTTCATGCATGTATGGAAACAGCATAGCAAGTACAGGAGAGCTCTGAGTATTGTGCAGGAACTGTTGGGCTGGACTTACACTGCTGCTGCTAGTGGGAGGAAGGAGGTGGTAGGGAGCTGCTTGCCTGGGGCAGGAGTTAGAGCCCTGGAGCTACTCCTGGGAGCTGCTTAGTAAGTCTCCAAGGTGTCTTCCAGTTGGTTTGTAATGACCTTTTGTTTGTTTTTATTATAATGGCCCTGGACTGTCAGTGAGGAGATCATGACAGAGATATGCATTCTCCTACTTAGTTTGTCAGCCAGAAGTTCCAGGACTGTAAGAATTAGCTTTCAGTGCTTGCCTTGGTAAACACCAAGTATCAAATGTGAGCTTAAGGGGAACCATACATTTAGAAAAATAAATTGAAACGAGACTTCAATATGAGGGGAATGTTGGCAACCTGCTTCAGTTGCTGTTTCTGTAGTAAGAGAAGCACTGTTCCCTTTTTGCCTTTAGTTCTCCTGTCTCTTGTGCTAAGAATAGGTTTCTTTTTCTGAAAAGGCAAACCAAGGCTTTGTTGCAAATGGATACCTGTGCATGTTGTTACTATTCTGAAGAGTTCTGTGCTGTCAGGAAATGCGCTCAGGCAGTTACAGAATCGCAAAATAAAGAGACTGTCCATATTATCTCTAGACTATTAAAGAAGGAGCAGAACATGTTACCAGGAAAAAATCCATGAGTTTTTAAGACCGTGATTGTGAGTAGATCTATTGACTCCTATATTTTCTTGCTATCTTAGCAGGAAGCCTACTGTGCAGCAATTCTTAGATATTCTGGTGAAGCAGTCCTATACACCAGTATGCTCCCTGGGGATTCAGTTGTGCCCAGACATAGGACAAAGGCAGATTGCAAGCATTTCTTTCATTCTTAGCCTGTTTTCTGTGTCCATTTGTGACTGAAAGGACTGTTGGTTTAGCACTGAGTCTCATGTCCAGAAGCACATTACTGCTGCTTGTTGTGGGGGAAAAAGAGGGGGTGCTTTTAGCATCACTGACACTGCTTTGGAGGAATCTGTAGGGTTAAGCATCAGCTGTATCCATGACTGCATGGCGTAACTGCTTTGAAAAATAAATACTCTTTATTAATAACCCCTCTCAGTGGTTCGGTAACAGTACACGAATTAACAGTGGCAAGCATACAATATAAGTTGAAGGTAAAAAGACAGCAGGAAGAGGAAATCAAAACACTCATCTATCACTTGACAACATAATTGCAGCCATGGGTGATAAACAAGAAACGTTCATTTCACTCAAATCCATACTTCTAAATACCATTGCTCTGTCATTATGTGAGACTGATAAACATTTTCCTTTGTTACCTTCACTTGATGTGGAAAACTGTGGTTTGTTCTGCTAGCATTTAATAAATATTATGCTAGTAAGCTGAAGTGATGACAGGAGTTTGTTTGTAGAATTTCACCTTTCTCCACCCTCCATGTGAATTTCACAGTCTGGGAAGGGCAGAGCTTTTCTTAAAATTACTGTTTCATTACCAGCTTCTTACAATCTAGCTCACAAGCTGGGTTTGCTAATGTAGCATTTTAATAACTAGCTGCAGCTCTGAAAGGTGAAGTGTGGTACAGTGAGATTAGATGTCAATGCAGGTATGGTCGTGGAATGAGAAGTGACGAAACCCCAGGAGGACTTGTGGCTCTGTAAAGCCTTCCAGCACAGAAGGGCAGTTGTGCTGGTAATACCCTGGGCAAATCTGACAACTGTGATCTTCCAAATTACACCTCCAGAGAAGACTGGAAGAAGATTGATTGCTGTATAAACCACGGGGGAGCTGACTTGTGTCCTCCAGCTGTCTCCACAACAGCCAGCATTGGTGAGCCAAGGTGCTTCCCAGTCTGATAACCAACACCTGAGGGGACTGGTGGTCTCATTCATTCCATCAGTGCCACGTTTGTAAGTACATTTCTTGGCTGGAATCAATCTCCTAGTTTATTTCACACCCACATTTCTTGAAATTTCACCTGGAAGCCTCTACACCCTGGGTCTTCTAATAATCAGCTCCTGTGCCCTTCGGTGCGCAGCCATTGCTTATTAATTGCATTTTAACGAGCATCTCTCACCTGCAGGGAGCTGCTCTGCACTACAGTGTATAACATAGCACGGTATTGTTTATTGTAGTCATACATCACGCTTGGTGGCTCTTAGCACCTGTAAATACATGCAAAAATGCTGGCCTTGGTCTTGAATATTCATTTACTGATTCTGGAGAAAATGTGCAGTTTCTGGTGGAGGCATTTAAGTCAGTTATATCTTGTTTCATCCCCCCTGCTATAGGCAGGGACACCTTCCTGTAGACCAGGCAGCTCAAAGCTCCATCTAGCCTGGCCTTGAACGCCTCCTTGGAGGGGGCATCCACAGCCTCTCTGGGCAACTTTTTCCAGTATCTCACCCCTCTCACAGTAAAGAATTTCTTCTTGATATCTAGTCTAAATCTACCCTCTTCCAGTTTAAAGCCATTTCCCCTCATCCTGTTGCTACCTGCCCTTATAAAAAGTCCCTCCCTAGCTTTCCTGTAGGGCTCCCTGTAATAAATCACACCAGCAAGAGAATGCATTTCCTTTGGTGCAGCTCTGCTGTGCTTGAAGCATGGCAACAAAACAAATCTGTATAAAGCTGGCAGTTCTTTCTGGGGGCTGTAGCAGCATATATGAAGACTGATGTTCTCTGAATTAATGCAGCCTGTTGACCTACTTCATGAAGCACCCAAGCAGGAACTGGAGAGGATAGCTGTGTAAATAGCAAGGAACTGCCTTTCTATGTAGCACCAGTTCAATACCCAGCCCTTCTGTCATTAGGCGACTTGCATCTCTCCCCTTAGTTTAGCTGTGTGTGTGCATGGTATGAGTGTGTCAGAGGGGAGAGCATCACAAAAAGTTTTCCAGCAGCATCGATGCCCATGGTGAGACAAGGGCTACTTATGCCCAAATTCTCTCCCTTATTTGTTCTGCTTTCCTCATTCCTATACAATGCCATGTGTAGGTTCCCACCTATGTGGATTGCTGTTGACATTCCATACCAGCATCATTCCTGAGTTTGAATACTGAGGACCTGTGCTATGTTTGTGCTTAGTGATCTCAGTGGCCAATCAGTCATTAATGGAATCAGAACACCCATGTATCTACTGCCTAGGACACGCTGAAATTCACTGTTTGTGAATAATTTGATTTTTTTTGAATAAATTAATCTCTACTTTCATGGCAGTAAATTTGGACATTAGAACAGAACCCATAACATGCAATCAGCTAAGAAAGCAAATGCAGTTTCCAGTGTGAATGCAGAAAATGGCTTAAGTTATTTTCCGTGATGTGTCTGCTGGAGATGGGACCTTCTGTGCTCTGGTGCATCTCAAATTCCAGGGTGTAAAACCTTCTGGCAAAAGCTGTACATATTGAAGTCAAACTATGGATAAAGCCAGCTTTGGGGGATTTGGGAAGAATGGGCTTGGAAGGCAGATTTTTAGAAAAAAAAACCCTGTTTAAACCAAATTCATACTGTTTGGTTTGTGCTATATAATTTGCTTCACATTTCCCTGGGTGACAGAAGCTTGCAGTCAGCCAAGTTGAGTTTTCATCTGTATTTTCATCTCCTTTCTCATTTCCTTTCTAAGTAGTAGAAAGCCTTAAAAAATGTGTTTTCTGCAGGTGCTCAAAACAATAACCTTGAAGAGGGTCCCCTGACAACCTGCAGCTCTGTTGAAAAGCACTATGATTCATCTTTCA